AAATATTTCAGCCAAAAGCTTCTGAAGGCTGGATATTTTCATCTGAAAACTGGGAAAACTTTGGGTTTTGATAAAAATGTTCTGTTTTCATATTTTCCCCACTCTGGTGAAAAATCAGAACATTTCTAGGAAAGCCGACTCTTTCTGTGAAATTGTTTTTTGTTTTTTGGGGTTTTTTTTTTGTGAAAGGTTTTGATGGAAAATTTTTGGTCAGCCCTTTTCCCAGCATTCCCCCTGGAATGTTGCAGCCCTGCATTTTCCCTATCTATAGGTGATGTCCATATTGCAAAATTTAGGCTTTGGTGGGAAAGGAGAATTCCTAACCTCCCTCCCCTCCTTGTTTAGCAGCAACTTAGAGCTCAGGCTCTAGACCTGAATTTGTATTTGGGGAGCAATGCTTTAGGCTGGGATTTCCAAAGGGACCAAAGGGAGTTAGGTACCCAAATCATACTGAATTGGGTGCCAAATTTCTGTAGGGTACTTTGGAAATCCCAGCTTTAGTGATTGCTCTCTACTTTCTATACCCTATATCTGTTAGCACCCCCACTGTGGCAGGATGGAGAGCTACACCACCTGACTCCCTTTATGCCTCCGCCCTCAATTCTGTATTTGTCAAGTTCATTGTCTAGCCCTTTTGCTGGGTCCTTAATAGTTTCAGTCCCCTTCAGGATCATGGGGAATTGGAAGTTCCTTGACTCTAGTGGGGTAGAGAGCCCTAGATCTCCATGTTTTGGAGCCTTCTTCTCCAAATTCCTTGGCTGGAGTAGGTAGGGGAACCTGGGCCCATCTACTCCACTGGGTTCCATCTCCGGGTCCTTGTTTGGAACAGCCAGAACAAGTCCTTCTCTTTCCCTTGCAGCTCCCTGAGCTACCTCCTACTGCGCCTGCTCTGGAAGCTTCCCCTGCTTCTTTCTCTGCTTCTCTCTCTTTGGCATGTTGGCTTCTCAGGTAGCTTCTCCCCAGTGTGCTGGAGGGATCCTCTCTCTGCAATCCCTCTGCCTCTCTGGCTGCTGCCTTTCTCCCCAGGAGCTCTCCCTCTCGCTAAGGTCCTTAACCTTTTATCAATACCCGGTGCTTTCCTGCATAATTCCCTTTCCCCTGTTACTCAGTGAGGTAACTACTCCCAGGTAAACTTGAGCTTCCTCATGCCCCCTTGTGGAGCCTGTCAGCGGAAGGCTGGGCCCCTGACCACTTCAGAGGGCCAGCTACCCTCTGACAGACCTGCACTCCCAAGTTATTTCAGCCCAGCTCCTCCAAGGTAATGATCCCAATGGGAGTTAGACACCTAAATACCTTTGAGGAGCTGGGCCTCAGCGTTTACTTGGAGCGGGGTTTTCAAAAGTGGCTAAGGAGGAACTTGGGATTTCAGCCACAGTGAAGGCAAAGATGATATGGTGGCAGGAATGGGGACTGCGATGAGAATCATAATGCAATGGTTGTGGGACCACGAAGGGGTCTGCAGTGGTGACAGGCATGGTCAGGAGTGAGTCAATGAAGTTTATGAGGGCACCATGATGAAGACAGTGGTGGGATCATTGGCTCTGGTGATAACGGAGACTGACTGTGATGTTGCTGATTATAATAATTATAGAGGGAGAAGATAAAAATGATGCTGAAGTGAGGAAGGACACAGTGATGGTTATCTGACAGTGAAGATAGTGCAGATAATAATTTGCATGTTGCAGCAGTTTTATGCTCTTTATAAGCAATTATAAAGCACCTGATTAGGTTGGCACTATATTGAGCTTACTGAGGAGTAAACCAACTATCAGAGAGCTTATGTAACCTGACCAATGTCACACAGCAGCAGAGCTGGGAACAGAACCTAGTGGTCCTGATTCCAGGTGTAATTATTAGGTAAAATGTATTTTAATAAATAATTATAATGTTTTATTATTTATGTGCATTGTATTTATTTACAATGATGGTAATAGGGGTATGTTGACATGACCAGTGTTTGAGTTCTTCATAATCCAATTTTGTGTTTTATGATGAACTTCTCATCATAGTTAGCTGTTATAGGAAACATATATTTGCCATTTGGCCCACAGAAAACATCCCATAATGCTAGACACATAGCTATCCCTCCATAGTGGCCTGATTCAGCTCTCAGTTACAATGGTGATGGTGTACTTTGCTGGCCATTAGTTTAAGTGAAGTTACTCTGGATTCACACTTGTATAACTGAGCTCAGAATCTGGCCCAATTTGAGAACTAATGTGATAAACAGTTCAGGATCACTTTTATTTTTGTGCAAATATCACACAAATCTCATTTCCGACAGAGTTCAATGCAACATTGAATTGGCAAGTGTGCAGCACTGTTCAAGTTCTGCAGTCTTTACTCAGGCAAAACTCCCATTGAAATCAGTGGGAGCTTTGCATGAGGAGAGGCAGCAGGAGAAGGCTCATAGTGTATATTTCCCTCCTAGTCCAGTTTATACTGGCATTATAGGAGTGGTTCTCAAAAAGAACTCTCTTCCTGTAGATGACATCACTCTTCATGGAGTCACGGCCCACCCCAACCTCTCCATTTCTGGGGATAAGAAGAGTTTTACACATGAAGCCCAACCTCAAAAAGTTCCATCAAATCCAGAGAGGTTCGATTCGACCGTATGTGTGTTGGGCTCTGACGGATTCTCCTCTGGAAAGCACTACTGGGAGGTGGATGTTGTGAGCAGCACTGACTGGGACCTGGGAGTGGCCAGAAAGTCAATACAGAGAAAAGGAAAACTTTCCCTGTCCCCTAAAGAGGGATTCTGGGCTCTGGGTCTGAGTGGGAGAGATTATTGGGCAAAAACAGACCCATGGACCCTGGGTCATAGTGCAGAAAAAGCCCAAGAAAATTGGAGTTTACCTTAGTTACCAAGAGGGGCAGGTGATTTTTTTCAATGTAACTGACATGTCTGTGTTGTTCACATTTAATGATTGTTCATTCTCAGGAGAGGTTTATCCATTCTTTAAAAATTCCCACAAAGAAACAACAATGAGAATTTGTTCAATTAAAGAGGAATATATATAACATGACACTGATGATGATTTTATACTGATGTAACTGAAATCAAGGTTTTCATTAATGTATTTTGATTAAAAAGCTATGTTTTTTTTAAATGTACATTGTCATGCTGTCTTCATTATATGTTATGCAATAAAATGTTTTCATTTCCTATTTGTTTTTTGCTTGTGACTTTTGTCCAATACAATATTTGACTAGCACAGTGTTTCTGGGGAATTTGATGCAGATGTTAAAAACAAGAAAACACCATCCATCCCCTCTAACACTTTCCGTATTGGCAGTGTGATAGACCTAGGCCAGTTGGGAACAGCAGAGTAGTAGAAGGCAGATATACTGGCCACTGGATAAGCAGTTTTCTGTTCCCTGACTGACCAGAGCAGGGGCTGCTCCAGGCTAATAGAACACCTGACTCCAATTAACCTGCTAAGAGTCAGGTGAGGCAGTTAAGCACCTGACTCTAATTAAGGTCCCTCTGATGCTATAAAAGGGCTCACTCCAGTCAGGCCAGAGAGAGCCAGGGAGCCAGAGGAGAGGAAGTGCATGCGAGGAGCTGGGAGCAAGGCACTAGGAGCTGAGAGTGAGAAGGCATATTGCTGGTGTGGAAGCAGAGAAAGAACTGACAGGAAGGGGATGCAATGCATGACAGTTCATTAGCAAGAGTTAGGGTAACTGTAACCCTAATAATGCGAGATTTGTAGAAGCGAGGACTGTGTGAGGCGAGTGGGAAAGAACTGTGTGAGAAGTTGTTGCGACCTTGTGTAGATAATATGGAATGTAGACTAAGAGTCTACATTAGTGAGCAAAACAAGATATCGGAATGACCTATGTATAAAGAAAATGCAGTTGTTGCTCATTATTGTCTGTAACAAAAGGTATAAATGCTTGCTGTAATTGTTTACCTGTTGAGAGACCTGTTTAGCTCTCTCCCTCTATGCAATTGATAGAGAGAAAGAAAATAAAGCATCTGACTTGCTGTACCCAAACAAATAGTGAGAACTCTGTTTTTCTCCGACAATTTTGGGGGCTCGTCCGGGATGGCAACGCCCGCAGAGGCACCGGCAGCTGCTACGGATCGTTCCCTTGGAACTCCATGGCGCCACAATAGAGGTAGGAGACCTTTTGAAATCTCTATTGGAGTGTCGGAGGAGGACTGTCCGTGGGGCCGTCTGTCCCTGTTGGGCTCACGCCATCCGAACTTATTGACTGTGCAGCAAGGTCAGATGCTGAGCGACTTAGGGGAATTATTGCTGCCCCCTGTATGCATATGCGAGGTGCATAGGTATGCACCAGTGTTGAGGGGTTGTTACCGCCTCAGCAGGAGGGGTTTTTACCGCCTCGAGTGATGCATCGAGGTACTTGGGAATAGTACCTGGAATAAGGCCTTGGTGTGTGTGTGTGTGTGTACACCAGTGTGAATTGAGAGTTACCGGAAGACGCCCAGAGTACTCTGCGAAGTCTTTTGACTCGTGACCAGAACTACTCTAACGCAAGCCCGGTAACTAGAGGATCTTTTAGGAGATTCGACCCACGGTAAGCTAACTCGGCCTGGCATCGTCCGGCGAGGAGGCTACCTGGGTCTAGGAGTGTGTGAACCCATCTTCCCTCCCCTTTTCCTCTCTGTGTGAGCCACTGACATTCTGATCATCTCACTGGATGCAACAGAGTAAGCGGCGCCATCTCTCTGAGACTAGCCGACACTCTTTGCTGAAGGGAGGTTTAGGAGGGTCGTGGGCATCCTTGTTAGCCTCTCCTGTGTGAGTACCCTGTAGGGAGCGATCCTTAGTTTATGTGCCGCTAGAGTGGACAGGGCATCCTCCTCCCTGTGTGTGTGTGATTGGAAAATGGGTGGGGGACAGTCTAAGGATTCCCTCTCACCCACTTTTGGGTACCCCAGCTTATTTCATGTACGTACATTATGGTCCTAAAACCTGCAGGTATTTAGAGAATTGGAATCATTACACATGTGAAAATCCATCTAAACAATACCCACTAGAAGGTACCTTCAATCTAGATAAGATCATACATCTCAGAGGAGCTTTTAATCACCAAAAAGCCTCTGACACAAAATGGGAGCAATTTGTCTATTGAGGAAAGGAACGGGTTAATTTGAAATTCAGCTTGATCCAGAGATTAAGAGAAAGTTAATCTGCGTTCAAGGTCAGGAATCAACGCAGACCAGGCTAAGTACAAAGAAAAACTGCTTTCGGCCCCAGCTGGCTGTGGAAAAAATATAGACATAGTCAACCAAAGGCAATACAAGTTACAATGCTGAGATTACATTTGCAAAGCTTAACTGTCCAGTGAGATCCAACAGTCTGCCTTTGCGACCCTGGAGCTGGCGTGGTTTGGGGTCGCTGAAGAAGCCACAGGCAGCCGGCCTGGACTGGAATCACTGAAAAGACGCCCCAGGAGACCTCAGGGTGTAAAAGAATAGCTCTCCCAAGAGAGGAAGCAAGTTGGAGATTGCACAGCACCTTCTCTGTCACAGATGTAGCCAGTCTGGATGTACGTGTGTGAGTATGAAAGTGTGCTTACTCTCAGCCGCAGTAAGTCTGAGAACCGGAGAGGAATTTAGCATTCCTCTCTCCACCCCGGTTGACCGGGGAGGGTGTCAGGTGGATCTACCCCAGTCGTAGCAGGACTGGGCAATAGAGAAGTTGGAGAAAAGGGAAGAGTTGTGTACTTGATAACTAGAGCATAGATCATGAACCAGGCAGCAACTCAAACCTATGCCCAGGGCAGGTTGCAAG